CCATGGCACGGTGGCGGAGTTTTTCTCCTCGCTATCCTCACATTCTCCACGTCGTCCTCGTCATCGCCTCGTCGCCTTCGCTTCCCTTTCTTCTTCTTAACCCCATACCCACGATAGTAATGTACCCCCCCTATACACATAAGAGTTGATTATCCACGGCCAATAAGAGTTTGGTCGGGGGCGCGGGGCGCGGAAGCCGAACTTCATTATCACGGGGAAAAGTTCGCCATGGCGTTGTTTTCCTTATGTTGACATAGCAACACCAAGCGAAACGAACACGTTTTTTCAGGATGTCTCAAGCGAAACAAATGTCATTATGTCTCTTTGTAGTTCTTTCGGTCTTTCTTTCTTTCTCTGTCTCTCTCTCTCTCTGTCTCTATCTCTTTCTCCTCCTCCCTCTGGCGCCCTGAACTTGTTTATCGCTGGGAAAACGAAGCACGTGAGCTACCCTACACGAGCAGATGAACATTTTGCTTTCATTAAGCGTTAACTTTGGATGTTTGCTATCTTTTTCGCCTCTCCTCCTCTTGCTCTTTCTCCTTCTCCTCCTCCTCTTCCTCCTCTACCTCCTCTTCTCTTTCTATATTTCTATTTATCTCTCTATCTTTCTTCTCCTCCCCCTGCCCCCCTGAACTTTTTTTATCGCTGTGGTTGATTGTCCTGGGAAATCGAGGCACATGAGGAGTCTCTATAGAAACTCCGAGCTTCAGTTCCGTATTATGAAAATATTAAAAGCCGACAGGTTCCTTCAGCCTCTTGAAAGGGCTCCAGGGTTTTTCAGTTTCGTTTTTGGAATTTAATGTAAATGTATTAACGGTGAATACTATAGAAGTGAAGCTCAGAGGCGCGCGCGCACCTCCTAGCTTCAGTTCTGTATTATAAATTAAAAGCCGACGCGTTCCTTCAGGATGTTTCAGAGAGGACCAAAAGCAAAGGATGTCTCAAGATATCCTCGGCTTTGGCTCCACTGTTAACATCTTTATGCTGGCCTCTGGTGGGCAACTTTTATTATCACCCCGTAACCGCCGAACTTTATTATCCCTGGGGGTTTATTCTCGGGGGCATGGGGTTATTATTCTTCTTCTTTGTATGATTATTATTATCATTATTCTTCTTCTTTTTCTTCTTCTTCTCCTTCTTCCCCCAATAAGTCCATTGGGCTAAAGCGGCGCTTCCCGTTTTTGTCCGATCAGTTTTTTTTCGGTGAGGCGTGCCGGTCCGAGGGCGTCTCGGAGCCTTCTTGGCACGTGTTGGTGCCAGCCTGGGACCCACTGCATGTTGGGACAATGCCAGTGTTAAGTTGGGCGTGTCCCTCTGCAGGAGGAATATTAAAGAATAATCCGAAATAGCCTGGGGACGATTTTTCTACTGTTTTTGGCAATTTTTGAACATTTTTGGCAATTTTTCATTTTTCTTCCAAAATCCGCCTGTAGGAGGACATGCCCGACCTGATGCTAGTGTCCCATCGTGGGCTGCCTCGGAAACTGGTTGAGCCGTCCCAGGACCGAGTTCCGAGCTGGGACCCCCTGACGGCGCCTCCGGCGCCGGGGGTTCAGCGCAGATCCAAGAAATCCGCGCGGAGCGCCAAAAGTTTATGTTTATGTTTTTGTTTTCGTCTTCTAGAGTTAGAAGGCTCAGAAGGCAGCGCGCTGTCACGTGATGCGGTGGGTACGTGCGGTGTGGCCCGCTGGGGGGAGGGGGAGCATGTCACATGATTTGTACGATGCACCGTTGCCACGTTTTGTGTTACATGGCGGCAGTGGCTGCAGGACCTCCAGGGTAGATGCACATCATACCCAGCGCCTCGCTGCTGCGCAGCTGAACGGCTTTGGGTTTGGGGTCTCCTCGTGTTGCTCACTTCTAGACTCCCCGGAGTTCGCTCTGGCTCTCGTAGGGCCCCCCGTGGTCCTTTTTTAGGTGTTGTGCTCGTCTTCTATGGGCCTCTGTACCGCTTCGCCTCTGTTCCTCTTCGGCTCTCGAGACTCCCGTGCTATCCTGGAGCAGTGAGCAGGGCCACGCATGCTTGCCCGCAGGGCCGGACCCAAACGGTGTTTTGGCCATCTCGTGGGCCGTCTTGTTTTCCGTTTTGTTTTGCATTTAAGGCGAAGTGAAGGCAAAACGAGGAAGAACGAAAAACAACACGAACACGACAAGCACCGTCTAGGTTCAGCCCTACGCTTACCCGTGCGCGGGGATTAGCTCCCGCTGGGGCCTCGGACACTCCTAGGGGCCCAGGGGAGCGAAAAAGGGAAACACGGGGTCGTCTTCACGGGCACTGGCGCGTAAGTTCCCCGCGTGAGGCCACGCGTGGGCGCCCCCGTCTCCAATGTGGCGTGCCGCGCTGGCGGCCCGCGCAAGCTGCGGCGTGAGCTCGTTATGTCGTCTCGACTAAGACCCGTTTTGGTCGTCGCTCAAATGAGGACGATCAGGGGGATTGCTTGCGTTTTGTTGTTCTTTTGGTTGAGGTTGTGGTTGTTGTTGTGGTTGTTGTTGTTGTTGTTGTTGTTGTCGTTGTCGGTGTCGTTGCTGTTGTTTATTATTTATGTTGTTCATTATTGTTGTGGTTGTTGTTGTTGACGATGTGCTTGTTGTTCTATAAATATAAGATCGGTATACAGCGGTGGCAGCAGCAGAACCGGGTAGCGGCTCAGGATCTGGAGGGGCATGAGAAACAGCGGGAGCGGGAGCAGGACAGTAGGAGAAGATGCCTTCCTCTTCCTGCTGCTCCTCGCCTCCTCTTCCCTGGGGTTGCGGATCTTTCTGGCGCATGCAGTCATTTGGCTTCTGAACATATCCCATGGAAGCCCCCTCCATTCAAACCCGAACGTGCACCTCATTTATTGTTTTCTGATGGTGGAGCTGGTGATGCCATCTTGGTGCAGCAAGAAGAGGGGAGGCCCCAGCGAGGTCAAGCAACCCGGCAGTGGAGCGGCGGGAGGCCGCAACAAACACCGAAGTCGGAAGCCTAGGGTGGCGGCAAGGGCGTCAAGAACACGATGCGCATCGTGGAGATGGTCGTGCGGTTCCGACTCACCGCCTCGCGCGAGATCGCCCACGTGGCCAGCGCGGTCTTCACCAGACATCGCATTCGATCGCGGCCTCCCCGCGCAGCTGGTGGTCGCGGGCAAGCGCTACGCCGACCAGAGCAACGGCATGAAGGCCAAGCAAAGCCAGGGCGAGGAGCAGCACTTCAAGGGGAGAGGGTCGCCCCACGGGCACAGCTTCGTCGCAGCGATGGAGTACTGCGCGTCGCGAACACCTTCAGCGGGGTCTGCAAAGGGCGAGGATGATAAGCTTCTGCAGGAGAGCAAGGACTGGTGGTGGACCTGATGACGGTAGGTCGGGCAGTTCCGTCTTTCAGCTGCGAACCTTTGCGCAAGGAGAAAAGGTCCATCGTCATGATGAGAGCGGGTTCCAACAAACCGATGGGAGTGACAGCTTGGGGGCTTATCGGTTACAGGGGACCGGGGCTTTCGGTAGGGTCGGCGCCGAGGGGGCCCGTTTCGCGCGAGTTTACGGCCTGGGCGAACAAAACAAGCGGATATTGCGTGCCAGTGTGCGGCTTCAGCAGCTGATTGGGAGTGGGCAGCTGGCCTCCAACATTCTGTGGAAAGATCGAGGCATCGTACGTCATCGTGCAGTGACCTTGGACAGCCGCCTATCCTAGCAGTTGTGCTAGCTCGTAAGCGCCCGTCGCAGGCTATAGGGAGGAGCGAAGGTGGCAGTTCGGACCGGGGGCGGGGGGGATGGAACGGAGCTCCCTGTGCCTGTGGGCCGGCCTCCTTCCGCGGGATGCGTGCCCGCTGGAATGTCGGACGGGGCCAGTGCCTGTGCTGGGGTGAGCGAAGGCCTCGCTTTAGAGAGTGAATCTGGGTTCCGCAGAGGCCCGCCTCAGAGACTTAGCGCGTGCTGAATTGCAGCGTGTGGCCATGAGGTGATAGTGAGGTAATCAGCACAATCAGGAATCCACGGCTTGATTTAATTCTAGTTGTCCTTATCCCTCGTCCTCGTCCTTCTCCTCCTCCTCCATTCTCCCCATCTTCCTCCTCGTCCCTGCATTCCTTCTTCCTAAGAAATTATTCCTCCCTGTCGCGCCATGGGGCGTGTTGGTGGGGCGGGCCGGGCGTTTCGCTCGAGACTTCCTCACCACTCATGATCCGTAGCTGAGAATTTGCAAGAGCTTTGTCGATACAGGGTGGGTCGCTTTCACAACTTGGCTGTCGCTCTCGCGCCGCCCACATTCGTTGCAAGCGTTTGCAGAAATGTCGAGACATGCGTGTATGTGTTGTGTGTGCGTGCTGAACACTATTCCGCTCCTGTATAAAAAAGGTATTTGAACAATAATTTGGCTCGCGCCTCAACACCTCAGCTCTCGTCTTTTCAAATTGTTGCTCTCTTCGTAGCGCCGCGCGCATTCGTTTAGAAATATTGCAAAAGGCTTCACGGATGGAGGGGAATTCCTTTCTTTAAATGTGCGTCTCACCTTACCGCCGCGCGCAGTCGCTTGAAGTTGCAAATTCTCAGTCGTTTTTATAGTTTCTCATGGTTAACGCCCCAGGATTGGTGTATTCGCGACAATTACTTTGTTTCGCGGCGTTCAAGTCCCAGGAATCGTGTTTTGGCACGATTCAGGACCGTCACGACACAAAACTAAAGGTCATTCGCGGCGTTGAAGTCCCGCGAATTGTGTTCCGGATTTTCAAACGTTTCTGTTCCAACGGGGCTTTCCTTTCAGTGGATATGGTTCGTGTATACGGGTCAACGAACGAGGAACTTAGTGGGAAGGTTTATTGCGCTATCGTGGATGAGTCTCGGGTTTGCACTGGTCCTCCTCCGCCTTCTCCTCATTCCTTCTGCCCTTCCCCCCCTTCGTTTTCCCTCCTCCTCCTCCTCCTCCTCCGCCGCCCGTTCACATTTCTGTTCCGCGGTCGCCGGGCGACGCGCGCTCGTGGTGCGGCGGCGGTGGGCGCTTCCGGGGATTCCGGCGGTGCCAGCCGCAGGCGGGACCCACAACGCGTTCACTGCTGGGGAAGTGACGGTGTACTTCGGGGAGGTCCCCTACGAGGCTGCGTCCTTCTTACTCAGGGGAAGACGCGGGGGGGGGGGGGCACAACCGTCCCAGGCAAACAATTTCAACCCCCCCCCAGATCAGACATGGGAAAGCGGTCTGTGGCCCTCACCCATCCGAGCCCTCCAAGACAGCCCAAATAACCCCCCACCCAAGGGTGACCCCTGCCCACTTCATCATGAAATCCAGAGTACCCATGCCGCCACCCTTTGCCCGTTGACCCTTTGTTTGGGTCTTCGTCGCTACGGCTGGATTCGACTTCAAATCTTGGTCAGAAATCGCCCTAGTTACGGTCGGAGTGAGGCGTACAGTCGTCTACGGCTCTGTTCGGCACGAGCAAATTGGGCACGGAAAGATTTGGATACACAGACCGACAGCAATTCCGGATCATCCGGAACAGGATTCGTTCTCGGTGCCGCCGTGGGCATTGTCCATGTAAACCAGAAGGCCGCTTGCCCAACAGCGGCCGCTGTCGGTTTTGGATAGCAGTGTTTGTTGGGCATCGCACCGGCATTCCCGTACCCATTGCGGGCGTTCAGAAAGGCTGCGTTTTGTTACGGTTGGAGCGAAGCGTAACAGCATGTTTGGTTGGGGGAGGGTGCCCCACGTTCTTTGTTATGTTTGCGTGTTTGTGTGCAGCCGGTTGTATCGCTGGTGCAGCCATTCTGCCTCGCCGCCAACGAAGAGAGTGTTTGTGTGCAGCCTGGGGGATGGTGTCCTCGAATGTGTTTCGGTTTGACAGCTGTGTTTGTTCAATCCCGTAAAGCTGCGGTTCCAGGCCCTCGGATCTTCTCGATTCCAGTTCGACTCCAGTGCGATTCCAGTTCGACTCAAGCTCGACTCGCGTCGACGGACGCTCGACGCCAGAAAGTTCGCCAGAGCGAGCATCCTCCCTGGTCCTCCAGCAACCAATTCTCTCGCTCCTACCCCCCATCATGTTGTTTCTCCGTCGTCTTTCCCTCCTGTGCTTCACGGGGAACATGAATCACACTCTTCCGGCGTTTCGCTGTTGCCCTTCTCTGCGGCAGTGGTGGAGTCCACCCGGGATAGCCCCCCTCAGGAGCAGCGGACTTCTCTTGCCCTTGGACGGGCCTCTTTCGTCCCCTGCTTTTGACCGTCCGTCCCCTCATGTTCGGACTGGTGTGCTCATTCCGCTTTGTTTCCTCTTTCGACCGGAAACGTTCCAATTGGAATGGCGCATGCGAAACATCTATTTTTGGAAATCCTATACACGTGACCTAGCCATACACGGGCAGGAAAATGCAAGGATGTCATCAGAGGAGAGGGGACGGAGTATTAGTGTAGACCCTTCGCTGACAGTAAATACCCTTGGAATTCCAGATCCCAACGTAGGTGAAGGGCGCATCGCAAGCGCCCTCCAGACCAGCGATCGAAGGTGCTTCCTTTTGCCATTCTACTTCAGCTGCCCTCGAACTTCATGCCTCGACTGACCTTATCTGAACGGCCTCCAACTGTTGAGCGGCAATACCGTTCGGTCGGGCATGTTACTCTACAGTCGAATTTTCGACGACAAATGCAAGATACTCAAATAATACTCGCAAATGGTCGAAACTTGTCAAAAGATCTTCCCCAGACTATTTTTTCACTATTTTGGAATATTCCTCCTGTAGAGGGACACGCCCGACTTAACAGCACCGCCATCGTGCTACCATCAGGAGCGCCAAGCAAGGAGCGAACGGCGAGCATCGGCTTCGAATTAGGCTCCCCGACATAGATCTGGGGCGCGGCCCAGAAACCGGAGCCCCTTCTCAGCCCGAGGTCGGTAACCACGGCTCGGGTCGCGCACAATACAGTCCCCCCAGGTAGTCCGCGATGGTCTGAGCAGATTCCCCGAATAGTCCCGGCTGGCCTCAGCAGGCCCCCCGAGCAGTCCGGGGCGAGGAGGAGGAGGAGGAGGAAAGGGAGGAGGAGGGATGCTGCTGCTGCTGCTGCTGATGATGATGATGATGATGATCATGATGATGATGATGAGGAGGAGGAGGAGGAGGAGGAGGAGGGAAAGGCGGCGGCGGAGGAGGAGGAGGAGGATGAGGAGAGAGCAGGAGGAAGATGAGGCGGAGGAGGAGGGAGGAGGAGGAGGAGGAGGAGGAGGAGGAGGAGGAGGAGGAGGAGGAGGAGGAGGAGGAGGAGGAGGAGGAGGAGGAGGAGGAGAGGAGGAGGAGGGGGAGGGGGAGGAGGAAGAGGGGGAGGGGGAGGAGGGGGAGGGGGTTGGGGGAGGGGGAGGGGCCCAAGGAGCAAGGGAGAGGGCCTCATCAAACCCAGGAGGCCCACGGCCGAGAGCCACGAGCTGCCTCCAACTGCAGGGTATGCTGCACCGGCCTCCACAGCTTTTACCCACAGCGCCAGCACGCCAGGCCTCACCCGCACCCACAGACTCGAGGAGATCAGACACGATGCGGCGGATCGAGGGCACTCTCCTCGAGGCCTGCAGTCCAGCCATCCTCTCGGCTCGTCCGACAGCCTGCTGAGCGCCTGCGAGCCTGACGCGCAGCTGCGGAGCCGGGGGGGCAATTCTCGCTGGAGCCTCCGCCTCCCGTTCCGCAGCCTATCTCGGGGTTCAGCTTGAGTCTGCCAAGTACGATAGCGCTACCGAACTGCACCTGAGCGACGCAGAAAAACGGGTTCGATTGTGCCGACATAGGCGCGTACGCTGCTCGCGTAAGGTCGCGCGTGAGCGCCCTTCTTCCCCACGTGGTGTGCCGCGCTGGCGGCCCACAGGAGCAGCCGCGTAAGCTCGCTACGTCATCTCGCGTGCGGTCGCACCGAGGCGTAAGATCGAGGTCGGTTTTGGGAGGGTACCCCAATGTTCCTCGTGCTCGTTGGTGTTCTTGTGCATCCTGGGGCAGGGTGCCCTCAAGTGTTCTTCAGTTTGGCTGGTGGAGGGGCTCATGCTCTTGAAGGATGTTCTTCTGTCCTAGGTCCAGCCGCAAGACCCGTTTGTTGATCACCTGGCGTTTAAGAGACGATTTTCATTGGAGCGAAGTCGGACGGTGGGACGAGGATAAAGCCGTTCCAGAGCGTTCCTCAGCGCTCTCAGAGCATTCCGGCAGAGCGCTCCGGAACGCTCGGAGAAGGCCACGGCGCCCGTCCGAGGTATCCTCCAGAGCCGCAGGTTCCCGGAGATTCTCGATTTTGATGGGCCTGTTTTCCACCACCACCATAAGTTGGAGGGGGGAAGACGGAGGAGGACGAGGAGGAGGAGGAAAAAGAAGAGGGGGAGGAGGACCCCCTTCCCCCTTCAGCTCATGGTCGGCGCACAGGAACCCGACACCAACACCAAGAAGCCACTAGAAAAGAAAACATTGCAGCCTCTGTTGAATGCCGTCGCCCGTGTCTTCGGGTTCGCGTGTCCAGAGTTGATGAATGCCTGCTCTGAGCGCGTGGGAACATAACGGGCCGTCTCCAGTTCCCCAAGTGAGCGTTCGGATTTCCATGGGCCGCGCGAGCCCCGCGGGCCGCGCGAACCCAGCCAGCCCCATGAACCCCGCAAGTTCCACAAAGGGCTTCATGGGCCGAACGTGCGCCGCAGCGCGCATAAGCCCAACGCGCCGCGCTGGCCCAGCATGCCGCGCGGGCACCATTGGCTCCCTGACTCGTCAGGGCCACATCTGGTTTCTGAGCCTTGGAAACCCCGCGGGCCATGGGAGCCCCGTGGGCCTCAGGGGCGCCATGAGCTGCATGGGACGTTTCCCTATCATGGAAGCACCGTGGTTTGCGAAGTCGGAGAGCAATGCGAACCATCTCAAGCTTTCTTGGCTTCGTTGGGTCGCTCAGCCCCCACAGGGAAAGCGCTCCGAACTTTTCCAGTGGCGTCTTGGTGCTGGTGCCGGCTTTCTGTCCCCTGCAACATCACAAAGCCGACACCAGCACCAAGACCCCCACTGGAACGGCGGCCCCATGTGCGAGCTGAACCCCTCGACGATTTCGGAAGGTTGCCACGGGCTGCGGGCTTGGGTCAAGAGGGGGCCGCGGTCTTATGCCCAGGCCGCGACGGGCGGCCACCGCCCCCTTTCGCAGAGAGCGGCGGATTCGAACTCGTCGGGCCTTGGTGTCGGGCCAGACGAGGGTCAGGGATGCGACGCGGGCGGACATAGGGTGGGTGAGGCGTGGGGGGAATGAGAGGGGGGCGGGCGGGCGGGGGTAGGCGTGGTGGAGGGCGGCGGTGGGGGGAGTGAAGCTTCAGCCATGGGGGATGCCGCAGCCTTCCCTCTTCTTTCCCTCTTCTCCCGAGAGCGCCCTCTAGTTTCGCTTCTCGCTTGCACTTGTTATTTCCTGCTTTCCCTCCTGCGTGCTGCGCGACGTCTCCCTTCCCCCGTCCCCCTCGCCCACTCTGCGATTCCTCAGGCCAGGGCGGGCTCGCGCTGGTCCAAAACGCAATTCGACATTTCGTGAAACAAATACTTTCTTGGTGCTGGTGTCGGCTTTTTGTTCTCCCAGGTGGTGGTGGTGGTGGGAAACAGGCCCATCAGATGCATCCTCACCCGACTTTGCCCTCGCTCTGCCTTCTTCTTGCGAAGAGCCTGGTGCGACGCGAGGCCGCCTCCGACGCCCTGTCCCGCTTCTCGGAGCCCCGCGCCCCGGGCGGCCCGCGCGGCCGCGGCGGGGGGGGGAGCGGCCGCAGCAGGCCAGAGGGGAGGGTCGTCGTCGTCGGCGTCGAGTCGTCGAGTTGTCGAGTCGTCGAGTCGTCGTCGTCGTCGGTGTCGGCGTCGGCGTCGTCGTCGGCGTCGTGGTCTAGTTAGTCGTTGCGTCGTCGCCGTTGCCGAGTCGTCGTCGTGGTCGTCGTCGTCGTCGTGGCTGCCGCCGCCGCAGCTAGCTCGGCGACGACGACGAAGAGCAGGCTGGTTGGAGTCGAGGAGGCGCAGACATTTGAGGACGCCCGGATCAGCGACGTGTCCCGTTTCCACATGAAACCTGCGCGCTCCGACACCAGATCGGGCGGCGCTGGCTCCATGTTTCGGGGGTGCCTCCCCGATCCACGGATCTTGCGACCACGCGCCAGATTCACGGATCCCCGATCCACGCGCGCCCGATGGAGGGAGAAGGAAGATTTCGGAGAGGGGGGCAGGAAGGGGGGGCAGAGGAGGAGCAGGATGGAGGGTGACGGGCGGAGGGGCGCCCCCATGGCATGCACAAGGCAGAGGAGGGATGGAGGGGGGGAAGGGGGAGGAGGGAGGCAGGGGAGCGGCGGAGGGTAAGAGCGGGGGTGAGGGCGGAGGACGTGGAGGAAGATAGGAGGGGGGGATCCGGTGGAGGGAAGACCGGGGCGTAGGGGGGAGGAGGAAGAGGAGATGGATGAAGGTGGCGGGGGGAAGTGCGGGGTAAGGGGCGAGGACGCAGAGGGAGATAGGACGGGGGGATCAAGTAGAGGGAAGACCGGAGCGTAGGGGGGAGGAGGAAGATGAGATGGATGAAGGTGGAGGAGGTGGAGGGAGGGAGAGAGGGGAGGGAGGAGGGAACAGACGACCGTGGATGGAGAAACAAAGAGGTAGGGGGAGCACGGAAGCGGAGGGAGGAGGGAGGCGAAGGGGGGGAGGAGGAGAAGGAGGGAAGAAGAAGGTGGAGGGAGGAGGCGGTAGTGTTGGGAAGAGGAGGGATGAGAACAGCCAGGAAGCTGGGCATTGGCGTACACATAATTGCTTACACGGTCGAAGGTCCGCCCTGGCTGTGTGTGTCGGCGCTAGGCCCCCTCCTTGCGCGCGCATCGCGCCGGCGGGGACGCCGCTTAAGGCGCCGCCAAGGGTGGTCAGCGCCGGCCGAAGAATCCGCGGAGCCCTCCGAAAGCTGATGTTTAGTAGTGCAAGGGAGGGGGGGGGGGGGGCAGGATGGAACGGAAGGTGCTGAGGAGGAGGAGGAGGTGGAGGGATTCATGGAAAGACGAGGTGGATCGAGGAGATGGAGGAGTGGGAAGAGGAGGAGGAGGAGGAGGAGGAGGAGGTAACCAAGGCCTTGAGCTGCGCACAATACAGTCCCCCCAGGTAGTCCACGATGGTCTGAACATATTCCCCGAATAGTCCCGGCTGGCCTCAGCAGGCCCCCCGAGCAGTCCGGGGCGAGGAGGACGAGGAGGAGGAGGAGGGGGAGGAGGAACAGGAGGAGGAATGGGGAAGGGGGGAGCGGGTGGGATGAGGCATGGCAGCCGCGCCGACGCGCCATGTGCTCCTCGCGCTGTCGCGTCCTGAGCTCTGGGTGGGGCCACCACTTCCAGCGGCGCCCAGAGCAATCACCACCCCTTCTCTCTTCAATACCAGGGGCGATGACGTCCCATCCTACTTCCTACTTTAGCCCTGATCGCCAGAGAGAATTTCGAGCACCAAGAATGTACCGAAAATGTAGGATTTTCACGTGTCGGGCCCTGGGAGGCGATACTCGCTCGACACTGTTCTGGTACTTTTCTCTGGCTGCTCCTGGGAGTCATTTCTGGGATGTGGTCCTGAAGTGCGATGGGAACCACATGAGACCAGGGTGCGAACGTCTCACCGTCGCGACGACGCCCTGGTTGTTTCCCGACACCGCGCGGATGGATCAACCTGGAACAGCGCGCAGCGGAAATCGTTCATTGCGGGCGGGTTCCTGCCGCCCGAGCCGGAGTGGCATTCTCTCATTCGAAGGACAGGGGCTTCATGGGTCCCGGAGACGGCAGGGCCGTTGGTCAGCCACGCGCAGAGGGGGGTGGGGGGGAGGGGGGAGGGCTTCTTAGAAACACCCCTGCTTCTTAGAAGGCGCGGGCCTGATCTATAGATGTAAGGCCGGCGCCTTCTAAGGAGCAGCATCCTTCTAAGAAGACCTCCCCACTCCCTCCCCCCCTTGTGCGCGCCGCCATTTTCACCGTTTCCGAGAAAGTGTCTCTTGAAAATGGAAGCGGCAACAAAACGGCGACCAGAAACGGCAGAGCAATTGCTCCAGGATTGGAGCCGGAGCTGGAAGCGGTAAAGAAATGGCGACGGAACCGGTAAAAAAAACAGCGTCGGAACTGTCATCAAGAAGGCAAAATGGAATCGGTAAGAAACAACGGCCCTGTCGTTTCCAGGGCCCGCTAAGGTCCAGCGGCCTTCGGCCTATCCCTCCGCCTTGACGCTGATCGGGGACCATGGGCCTCCGTCGGGGCCTCTCGGAGGCCTCTTCGCTGAGACCGAGCACGAGCCATCGCCCAGTTTCTTCCAAGGCTGCTGTGCTTGCCCCCGCTCACACGACGAGGAGGACGAGGGATAATGATGATGCTGCTGGTTCTGGTGATGGTGATGGTAATGGTGATGATGATGGTGATGATCTTGATGATGATGATGATGATGATGATGATGATGATGAGGATGATCATGACGTTGCTGGTGACGATGTTGCTGACATCGATGCTAGTGCTGATGATGAGGCGGAGGATGATGCAGGGGATTTGATGATGATGACGATGATGACGATGATCGTGAAGTAGATCATGATGGTGATGATGATGATGTTGATGTTGATGCTGATGATGATGATGATGATGATGATGATGATGATGATGTTGATCATGATGATGGTGATGATGCTGATGATGATGATATGATGTTGGGAATGTTTATGATGTTAAGAATACGCTAATTGTAATGATGATGATGGTGATGATGATGCTGATGATGCTGATGATGGTGCTGGTGATGACGATGATGACGATGCTGCTGACTCTGATGCTGATGCTAATGATGATGACGTGGTTGATGATGCTTGGGATCATGATGATGTTGATGGTGCTTAAGAAAATATTATGGTGACGATGCGATGATTGTGATGATGATGCTGGCCATGATGATGAGGCTGAAACTGATGATGATTATGATGATGATGATGATGATGATGATGATGATGGCGATGCTGCTGGCACTGATGCTGATGTTGATGCTGGGGATTGGATGATAATGGTGAAGCAGATAGTGCTGGTGACCATGACGGTTGTCATGATGATGATGGTTGTGATGATGATGTTGTGAAGATGGTGACGCTGATGATGATGATGTTGATGATGATGCCGATGATGAGCCATCTGATGATGATGATGATGATGATGATGATGATGATGATTGTGATGGTGGTGACGATGCTGTTGAAACTGATGTTGATGCTGATGATGATGAGGCGGATGATGATGCTGGGGATTCTGATCCAGATGATGAACAAGATCGTGATGGTGATGATGATGGTGATGCTGATGATGGTGGTGATGATGATTATGCTGACAATGATGATTGGGCTGATGGTAGTGATGATGACGATGATGATGCTACTGAAGATGTTGCTGATGATGACAATGCTTCTGACACTGATGCTGATGCTGCTGATGACCACGTCGATGCTGCTGACACTGATGCTGGTGCTGATGCTGACGACGAGTCTCATGATGATCACGATGAATCAGGTAATGATGATGCAGATGATACTGATGCTGCTGCCGATGATGATGATGATTCCTATGACGATGATGATGCTGATGATGACGACGCGGATGATGATGCTGACGAAGGTGATGATGAAGAAGAGGATAATGTTGATGATGGTGATGATGATGATGATGAGGTTGATGTTGATGAACCTGATCATGATCCTGATGGCGGTGGTGATGATGATGATGACGACGATGATGCTGACACTGATGCTCATGATGGTGTTGATGACTCGGATGATGATGCTGGGGAAATTGATGATGCTGATGATGATGAGGATGATGGTGACGATGCTGCTGAAACTGATGCTGCTGCTGATGATGATAACGCGGATTATGATGCTGGGGATTCTGACCCAGATGATGAACAAGATCGTGATGGTGATGATGTTGGTGATGCTAATGATGGTGGTGATGATGATTATGCTGACAATGATGATGGAGCTGATGGTAGTGATGATAACGATCATGATGCAACTGAAGATGTTGATGATGATGATGATGACGATGCTGCTGACACTGATGCTGATGCTGATGATGACGACGTCGATGCTGCTGACACTGATACTGGTGCTGATTTCGACGACGAGTCCCATGATGATCACGATGAATCAGATAATGATGATGCAGATGATACTGATGCTGCTGCCGACGATGATGATTCCTATGACGATGATGATGCTGATGATGACGACGCGGACGATGATGCCGACGATGGTGATGATGAACAAAAAGATAATGTTGATGATGATAGTGATGATGATGATGCTGATGTTGATGAAACTGATCAGGATCCTGATGGCGATGGTGGTGATTATGATGATGACGACGATGATGCTGACACTGATGCTGATGATGGTGATGATGACGCGGATGATGATGCTGGGGAAATTGATGATGATGATGTTGAAGATGATGGTGATGATGATGATGATGGTGGTGATGATGATGATGAACCTTATGATGATGTTGATGATGGTGATGACGATGCTGCTGACATAGGGACTATGATGATGTTGATGATGGTGATGATTGTGATGATGCTGATGCTGATGCTGTTGATGACGATGCTGCTGACTCTGATGCTGATGCTGATGATGATGACGCGGGAGATGATGCTTGGGCCTTTGTTGGTGATGGTCATTAAGACGG